AGAGAGAGAGAGAGAGAGAGAGAGAGAGAGAGAGAGAGAGAGAGAGAGAGAGAGAGAGAGAGCGTTATGGTAGGCAGGCTGTAGGCAGCTTGCATGGATTGTGTAGGCTGTAGGTAGGCAGGTTGCATGGATCGTGTAGAATGCAGGTAGGTCGCCTAGGTGGGCGTAGGCAAGTTGGTAGGTCGCGTAGGCAAGACCGTAGGGCACAAAGTACCAAGAACGACGAACGTAGGGCAGTTTGTCGCGTAGGGAATTCTGTCTCGTAGGGCAGTTTGTCACGTAGGGCAGTAGTTTGTCAGGTACGGTAGTAGTTTGTCACGTAGGGCAGCCGTTGCGCGAAGTCGGACAGCCCTCGTTCGATGCGAACAGGGCCATGGCACCGCCCCGCAACGGGCCCTCTTCTCAACAGGCGTGCCGATCCGGGCCGCCCACGGCCCTACCGGGCCGACGGCCCAGATTTCCGCACGATCTTAAGACTTTAAGATCGCGCGTCGATCCAGGCCGTCCTGCAAAGCGGACGGTCTGGATTGCCGCGCGATCTTAGTCTTAAAGTCTTAAAGTCTTAAGATCGCGCGGAAATCCAGGCCGTCGGCCGGTAGGCCGCGGGCGGCCCAGATCGGCCAACTGTTGCGCGCCAAATAGCAATTTCTATAAGTGTAGGGAAGGAGAAATGGTTTCCTGAATGATTCTGATCACAATTGAGTCCAGATGCAGTGGAAAACGTTGTGTACATTGTACGAGTGCGGTTCTTATTTTCTGGTTCTGGATCTTTGGCATTTGTCGAACACAACAAACTTAGAAAGAGAAGCCCCTGTTGGTACGTACACCCATGAACTGTTGAAATACAAACCTGAGTTCGAATCAATACGGAAACAGATAAATGAAAGTTTATGAAAGAAAATAGTTATGAATTACCTGGGGGAGCTCTGTTCTACAATGATATCCAAAGACTGTGACCCTTTTCTGAAAGAAAGAAGAAAAAAAAACAAAACAGAGAAGCGATGTCGATACCTTTCCGATGTCGTTCGCGCGTCGCCGCTTCTTCTCGACCTACTGTGACACGCATGTCCCTCTCGGCCTGGCATGTCATTTTCAAAATATGTGAATATTCTCATTAGTGAATTAATAATTAGTTCATGTCTTTTTCTTTTCTACAAGAAACATTGTCACCTTCTATTGCTAATGTTGAATATCTTCTTTTCAGTGTTTTCACCTTTTTTCTTTAGGCTTGCCATAAATATAAAAATAAAAACTTCATAAAAATATTCCTCGTTGCAAATCTGTGGCAAAGCTTTTATTTTTTTAAAAGAGGTATCTGTTTAGGACTGAGGGTTGTCGAGTTCATCTCTCTCTCTCTCTCTCTCTCTCTCTCTCTCTCTCTCTCTCTCTCTCTCTCTCTCTCTCTCTCTCTCTCTCTCTCTCTCTCTCTCTNTCTCTCTCTCTCTCTCTCTCTCTCTCTCTCTCTCTCTCTCTCTCTCTCTCTCTCTCTCTCTCTCTCTCTCTCTCTCTCTCTCTCTGTGTGTGAATTACCAGTGGTTACAGGTGAGTACCATTCAGCCACAGGGCAGGTAGAATTAGCTAACGGCCTTGCTCCACTACACAAATTTCCAAATACATTTGGTTCTGGTGTGTGTACCGATACATTGAAACTCGTCCATCAGTCGGAAATTCTCAGAATGGATCTGAACCGAAACAGCACAGATATATTTCGAATGCTGAGTAGCGGAGTGAGGCCCAATGAAAACACGATCGAAAAGTAGATTGGCAAAATTTTCAAGAGTACTTCAAGAGCTGTCAGACTCTCGAGAACGGTGGAAAACGGGCCACCGCCCACCTACTCTCAATAGCCGGACTCTCAAATTGCTCTGACAGTAAAGCCAACAGAAGAAAACAACGAAAAGTGTGACAGCTGGGTCCCGATTGGAGGTCTACCCTCACAATTTCAATGTCGTTTGGGAGCACAGGCTGATCACCCTGAAAAAAAACAGAGTGGCAGGCGGGGCACTCTTGAACAATTGAGAGTGCTCTCCAAGGGGKTTTCGAGAGGCAAATTTGAGAGTAAGTGTAGTGATGCCGGACTCTCGAAATTGCGAGAGTCGAGAGTAGAGGAGCGAGACCCATATATTAAACCACCAGTGCCCACCGGTTGGTGCGGCCATTAAAGCGGTAGCCGAATCGGTCTGCCCCTCGGGTCCATATTCATTCGACCTGCGGGGGTACGAAAAATGTGGTAGGTACTGGTGGTTTAAGGAGCTATTTCCACTGCCTCCCCCCCCTCCTCCCCCCCCATGTCACTGAATGATATACACGCATTGATGGACTGATCATGCGTTCAAATCCTGATGGTTTCTTAAGATTTTCAATACCAATGTTTCCGGAAGCTATTCTTTATTTCACCTCTTTCCTTTATAGGCAGCGTACCCCGATGGTCGGCAACCCTTGACTGGTCGGCTGGTTGGCACCCCGCAAATAAATAAATAAATAAATAAATTGGGCCCAGACTCCAGAACCCCCAATAACCCCACCAACACCCCCATCGCCGCCCCCAATACCCTCCCACACCCCTCCAACACCCCCAAACCGCCCCCCAACACCCTCATCCCCCCTCAATACCCCCTAGACCACCCCTAAACCCCCCTATACCTTCCCCCCCCCCCACAACCCCCGATAACCCCCCCCATCCCCAAAACTTTCTCAGCAGGTTTGAGATGTATTCAGCAAGCGCAGTACAGCCCCCAACTCAGATTTAAAAAAAACAGTGGATGGCTGTTTTCTGACTGGTCGGCAGACTGCCAACCGGTCGGCCCTACTGGTCGGCTGCAAAACGGTTGGCGGTCGGGGTCGGCGGTCGGCAGGTATGCAACCCTGCTATAAGGTCGTAGTCACAGAGGACTTTCCAGCATGCATCTGACTGCGTTTACGACCCATCCTGCATGCATCTGGCCACAATTACGTCCAGAGATAAGTTGAAATAGTCCTAGTGTGAGTATGTCCTGAGTGTGATTGCCATAATATTTACTTCCTCGTTCGTATCAGAATTATCAGATGGGTAAATTATGCTAAAAAGGCCCTTAGGAGGTGAAGGAGGTAAGGAATGGGAGAGAGAGGTCCTCGATCCACTACTCACCGCGTGCAAAAAAGGCATAAAATGTGTTTGTGGCACTCTGTGCATCTTTCCATCTGAAGATTCATTCTCATTTTGCACATTTCATGAGTAGCGGAGCAAGGCCCAGAGACAATGAAGGGTGGGGACCGCTGAGAGAGGATCTAACGAAGGGCGACAGATTTGGCAAGGATGGGGGAGCACGTGAAAGCGGGTCCATAGGGTTGAGGTGCACGTCAAAGCACTCGCTACAGGGTTGGGTGGGGGGGGGAAGAGAGAGATGAGAGAGTCGGTTGGTGAAGGAGGTAAGAGAGGACAAGAGTTGAGGACGGTGGTGATGGACGAGGGAGGACCCCTGACACTCGCTACGAGTTGGGCAAGGACAGAAGGAGCACGAGGAAGATCTTTTGCAATAATGGATGTGTAGATTTTCGACACACGTTTCCAGTTAAGCTGAAGCCGGGTAAAGGCCCCGGAAACATCTTGGTACCTCAAATTTCATAATCAAAGCCTTGGGCACTGAGGCCCTTTTTGAAAGAAAAAAAAAAAAAACATTTTTTTTTTTTTTTTTTTTTGACTGCTCATACTGAGAAAAGGGATGCTGTGCAGTGGAGTTCAAGACGCTGGAAGCATTTAACTGGAAGCAGCAGGAGGCTAGGGTTTAGGGTTTAGGGTTTAGGTAGCCAAAAGGGTTAGTAAAGTTTTTTTTTTTTTTTCCTTTTTTTTCTTTTAAATTTGGACCATTTCTCGATTTATGCGTGTCATCCTTGCGCAGGGGCATGGAGATTTGAAGAGGAGGGTGTTTACTTTTCCAGTGCCGTTATGATGCCAAACTGGCAAAGGTTCCCAGCAGTTAGTGCGCAAAGAAGTCTTACTACAGCATAGGTAAGGAGGATAGGTTCTACTCCCTTTTCGCTGTTTTCTCAATTTATTTGTCCAGCTTTTTGCATTGTTTGGGGAGTAGCATTGGAAAATTGGGCTTCTGGACCGGGTCTCCAGCAGAAGCCGACGCTGAGTAATGGCCGCAGTCCTCTGAGTTGTTCGTCGAGGGTTTCCCTGGCTCCTTTTTCGGTTGAAATAAAAGAAAATCAGCACCGTGAAAAAAATGAAACAAAACACAAAACAAAGATTTTTGACATGCGTGTTGGCGTGCCCTCCTACAGGAAGGAGGGGGAAGGTAGACGTAAAAGAGCAGGTGGTGGAAAGAGGAGGGAGCAAGATGAAGGTAATTTCTGGGATGGTGTAATCACTGTAATGTCTGCGGAGTGCAACGAGGTGCAAAGTAGACCAGCTTTGAGAAACTAAGTGGCTAAAGATTTGCGCGCTGTTGCGGCTGTGCTTTTTTTTTTTTTTTTTTTTTTTTTTTTGGTCAGTGGGATCAATTCACTTACCCTTACTATTTTCGAAGTTTTGGATAGGATAAAGAGAGACAGGTCATCAGGAATTCACTATTACTGTCTGCGACGGAATTCATGGCATGAAAAAAAAAGGTATTAAACTTAATTAAAGCCTTTAAAGGTGGTATTGGGCCTCGCTTCACTAGACAACCCTCTACATGCATTGCATTTGGACACTCTGTGGACCCGATGCATTGAGAATGTTGGACTTGTACGAATGCATCTGGTTCCGAAAGCAAGCAAATGCATGTCGAGTGTGGTATAGCGGAGCGAGGCCCACTGCCTTGTACTGTCGGTTTTTAAATGGAAGATTAATATGTTGGTTAAACTTGGTTTTCTTTGGTTCCTTACGCTTGAATTCTCTTATTATGAAATGAAATGAAAGCTTTTTTTAACTTTTTTTGATATAGGAACATTAATTATAAATTTATAATTACATTACAGGAGAAAAGGTATTTGAACCCTTAACCTATGGTTTCGGAGACCATTGTTCTACCATTGGAACTGTTCTCCTCACAAAACAAAATGTGATTGGTTTATGGTGTGCGGATGCCATTCAAGGCGCAACTGGACAAAGGATCGAATCTCTCGCAACTCTTTGAGCTGGAATAATCGTACCAAGCTGCCTCACATTCATTATATCATACAATATTCCGCCATGGCCACACTTAGGTCGAAAACTCAAATTGAATTGTGCTGCTAAGCTTTTCAAACCTTTCTCTTTCCCACTTTTCCATTACTTGTGGGACTCGACCCTATGAATGGATCGCAGAGAAGGCGCACTGAGCTCTTTAGCAGCAGAGTGGATTGAATGAGGTGTAGTATGCCGCGATTTTGATGGCAAGACCCTCTCCGAGTGGTCTGGTTGCATTTTTTTTTTTTTCTAGTTGACTTTGATCAATTAGATTGGGTTGGGGTTTGTAGTTGTTTCAAAGCAAGATTGCAGTCTAGACTCTAGGGTAAGAAAAAGAATAAAAGGATGCTGGTCTAGGGTCGACAGAGAGTGGTAGGAGTGGAAAAGGGATTCGGGAAGCAAAAGGAAGGTTGTCGCACATACTCGAGGATGGTGGCTCTGGGGGTAGTTGAAGGCCTTAGCACTTGGGAACAGTGGTCCCATGGTTGTAAGTCTAGCTGGAGTAAGAGTTGGGGGAGAGGGGAGGGGGGAGGGGGGGGGCTGGGTTTGGGGGGGGGGGTAGCCTGGGCAGAGATTCGTTTACGCTTGGGGGCGTTGGATTGTTCACAAGCATCCCTACGGGATGGACGGTGGCTGTGGGTATTGTTCTGTGGCCTAGTGTTCCAAGCGTTCCCACAGTCGATGCAAGTCTGGCTGAAGCACAGCTCAAGGTTCGGAAATTGGATGACACCACTTCTCTTGTTTCCTCTCTCCCTCTCTGTCTTTGGTCTCCTAGAGAGTTTTTGGAGTGCTTTTGGTGGGGGTTTGGTGGAGTTTTGATGGAAGTTTGAATGGGTTTTGGTTCTTTTTTGGTGGGGTTTTGTAGGGTTCATGGTGGGAGTTTTGTAGGTTTTTGGTGGGGTTTTGGTTACCTGCTTTGGAACAAATCCTTGAATGCAACAAACTCTCTTATTGCGCATGCATGGCCGTGAGGTTGGTTTGGTTGTGCTAGTGGCCTGAAGAGCAACAGATAGCATACTGACCATGGGGATGGGGGGGGAGCACATTGTGACGCCCAAACCTCACGCCCAGCGCGACTTCCTGTTTCGGAGTGTTAGGTGGCCCGGAAGTGCGAAGAGGGGTGTGCCAAGGATTTTAGCAAAGTGCGGGTGGAGTCCCAGGTCAGAACTGAGATCTCCGGTGGCAAGCTTAGGGGTAGTTGAGCAAGATGGTGGTCCCGAGTTATATTGGACTTCGGGAGACCGGGCTACCTCCGGTATGAGTGTCGTCGTCGCGGTCGGTCCCGTCTCTGGTGGACCGGTGGGTCGCTATGGCTGTCGCGCTGTCGGAACAGCTGCTGGCGCCGTTCGTCGGATAGATCCCGAAGTCCGATACGTCGGGTGCTGCCGGCACTCTTCGCACGGTGTGCGGGGCCAATAGCGAGCTATGGAATTCCACGGTACCACTGTGAGCTGATGGTAGGGGAGGAGGAGATGGAAAGGAGGAAAACTAACGACGAAGCCCAGAGATACGTAATACTGAGTGTTGTTAGTATTTGGGTAGTCTGGGCCCCGGGGATCGTTGGTTATGGCCCAATGAAAGGCCCGCGCGCACAGTCGGTCGTTCTCCGTCAGACAGGGGAATTCCGGGTTTCTCAAGTTTCCCCGCCGTCTGAGTTGTTCACCCTCCCAGTATTCGCGATACTCCGGGTCCCTCAGACTCTTACGATCGGTGATCCAAGAGGGGGGGTTTACAGCCGTATCTGATTAGTGAGCTTGGTCTCCCGCATCCTCATAATGAGTCAAGATCGAGGTCGACTCATGCAGACGCGCGCGTACGCTGCGACTCGGTTTCCTCGAGATCACGGTCGTATGTGAGCGCGCACATGAGCGGACGCTGATTAGGTGCGGGTTCCTCGCGCCGGTGTAGTGGTTGTGTCCTACCTGCATGCAGCTATCCTACCCATACTATTTCAGGTGGGATCCAGTCATTGCATTCACATCCATGCCATTCATGCGACGAAGAGAAAGGAGAAGGGCAATTGCCCTGGCATCAAGGTCCAACACCTCACAGAATTGACGATCAAAGCTAACGATTAAACCCAAACATTCATAGCGAGTGCTTCCAATCAGACCCGGGATTATTGCACGATGCAGATGGATACTAGAAAGCGACAAAATTTGAACTAAACAGGCATTGCAGAATAGGATTAAAAATCCGAAAAGATCACTCGAAGAGGGTTCGCATCCATTCCATGCATACATACGAGGCAAAACGACAACGAAAACTCGAAACGATTTACAAAAAAAAGCCCGAAAGTGTCGCAACAAGATCGGCCAAAATAGAGATCAAAATTATACAGATGATTGGCAGAAGAGACCTCATCCCACACATAGCTGCTCTCTCTCTGTCTCTCTCTCTCTACACTCCCCGATGCGGGCAGTCCGTCGCCGCGCATCAACACAGAGTTGTCACCCCGCTTGGTTCGAGCATGCAAGCCAGGTTCGCCCGTGCGCCATAGTCCGTCGCGGCCCGCACGTCAACCCCGCATACCCGACACCAGCTCGTCGGTTCGCCCAACTCTCTCATCGACTCACCTCTTCAAGCTGACTCGTTAGCCGACCCTCACTGATCGCGCTAACTTCAAAGTTCATAGAGAGCAAACTAATCGCGCTTGCGAAATTTATATCATGCACGCTTGCGCGAAAGATACGGGATTAAGCCCAAGTGGTCAGGAGGAGAAGAAAGGAAATGCCTACGTCTGCATGGCCAGGCCGCGGCGTGGAGGCCGTAGCCACTCTCCACGCATCGATCCGGTCGTACAGGCGTTCAGGCCAATTAGAACAGAGTATTAAGCATGCAAGACAAAGAAGAAGAAGGCGGGCAAACATGAGGAAATCAAGAAAGAAGAAAGATACAGTTACAATCGCGCCCTCCAAAAGCGACAGTTACACAAGATTAAGGGCGCGATCCAGTCAGAGCCCAGTTCCTAGCGCAGCAAAGTGTGCGCAAGTGAGAAGCGTGGCGCAGCAAAATTTGGAGCGCCTAAATTCCTAGTCTAAGTCCTAATTGCAAAAGGAAATACCGAAAAGCCCACAAACAATTCCTCAAGCCCGTAGGACCTCGACATCAGTTGAAAATTTAAAAACGATATTCCCGCGCGATGATCGTGCCAAAAATTCCTAGTGCTCACAGCATAATAAGATAGAAGCCATGGTAACCGTTGTCCATCGCGCTCGCTGAGGCGCGGTTACTCAATTGTCGGCGCGGGACTTTCCCGATACCGACCCGATCGACTCCCACAGAAACAAAAGAAACGAGGGTATCCATGCAACTTGCCCGACCGACCCGTCTTTCCACTGCTCCCCCTCCAACCGTCCCATTTCCCCAAAGCAACGTCGCACAAAAAGTAGTGCGGTTACGGAAGACAGCTCGTCACAACATAGGGGAAAGGGGGTGGGGAGTCCTCTTGCATGAAAGGATGTCTGCACAACACACTTTCACCAACCACAGTGTGCGCAGGGGATCAGGCGGGGGTAGTTGGAGGGATACGCACACTCCTGAGGAGGGTGGCCTTAAAGCACCAGTACATGGGTACCTGGGCCGCGGGCCTGACACCTCGAATTCTGGAGTCGTGAAACGAAAACGCCATTGCCGATCGAATTTATCAATGGCGGGCCCAGCGTTTGACGTTTCAGCCTCATTTTCTTGTGGCGACAAGTTTCGGACTGCAAGGCTGGGGCCGTGTACTTGTGGTTTAAGGGGTGTGGAAGGCGTAGAAAGTATGGATATGGTGGCTCCATAGCATACGTCTTGCACATGTGTGGTAGTGGCAGGAATGGGGTGTTTAGGAAGGTGAACAGGACATGGACAATTCCAGATCTTTTAGAAAGAAGACATCACGAGAGAATGATAAGACAGCAATCAGAATTTGACAACGGCAAGGGCGGGGGGGAAAGGGAGGGGGA